AGAGAGTTTAAGAGGCAAGTTCAAAATTGGAGGTCTTTGTTTTGGGAGGGAAATAAAAATTAAAATAGCCAGAATTACTAACTAGAGGGTTTTGGGTATCATAAGGCCCCACAGCCTGTCTTCAGTCTTCTTTGGTCTTGTTACATGAAGTCAGGTTAGGAAAGGCAAAGCTTTATGCACAACCAGTGAAAGGGGGAGGACATGAATCCTTCATTGTGAAGAGACTCACTTTGGGTGCCCATGCATGAAATAGTGACTGATGTCACAGTTGCCCATCTATTCATTCTGGTACTTTGTGAAGAAGGCGATTACTATGTACAAACCAGAGGACTGATGTGCACAAAACATCTAGTCACCCACATCCATGGAAAATAAGGGGACTCAGCAAGCCTTGGCTTGTTTCTTTCATGCAGGAGGGAAGTCTCCACTTTGTCTTGAATGGTCTGCTCTGAGCAGGGGGGAAATTTATTCCTCCTTTCTTCCATATACAGGGTGGAATATGCTAGAGACAGAGGTTTGTTTTTTTTTTCAGCTTTATAATTCTGTGCTAAACTTTACAACTTTTAGAAATGAAGAAAAAAGGTGCTCACTCAAATGTCCCCAAAACTCTTTGAGCAGGTCAGGAGGGCCCTAGCTACTTTGGTTAAAGAAGACTCCAAGACAGATGTTGGAAAGAGAAATTTCCCTCTGGATCAGTGGGCTACCATAGGAGCCATGGCTAGCAGACTGGATGGATGGAAGGGGTGGACTTTCTAGAGTGCTGGGGCGCCAGGGAGTTTTTGTTTGTTTTGCTCTCCGCTTTAACCTTAGCATGCACAAGAAGACTCGGCATACAATAGGTAGTCAATATTTGCGGAAGGAATAATGAATGACACCGAGAGGGACAGCGGGAGTAGCAATTAGCTGGTGCAAAGATGTTTGAACCAGGCAGCCCAAAGGTGAAGTAGGAAGAGGCCCACAACTTGGGGCAGGGGCTATCCCAACAAAGGACACTGGAGAAGGAGCTGGCTTCAAAGCAAAGTGACTTATTTGCCTATAAGAATGATCCGGCAGAATCACTATACGACCCGGCAACCACATTTCTAGATATTTTCCCCAAAGAAATGAAAATTTTACCTCCTTGCAAACACTTGTATGTGAATGTTCATAGCCACATTACGTCTAATAGTCAAAAAGTAGAAATAGGCCAAATATCTCTCGGTTGATGAATGAACAAATTAAATGCGGCTTATCTATACAGTGGAATAATTTTAGCTGGCAATCAGAAAGGGATGAAGTACTGGTCAGGCTACAATAGGAATGAACCATGACAACATGCTAAGCGACAGAAGCTAGTCACAAAGGCCACGCATTACATGAAACCATTCAGATGAAATGTCCAGAACAAGGATTAGTGGGTGCCGGGGCTGGGGGAGGGGCTGGAGGCAAGGGGAAGGTTGACAGCTAAGGGACGGAGGGTTTCTTTTGGGGTTGATTAAAATGTTCTAAAACTGATTGTGATAATGGTTGCTTAACTCTCAGGATATCCTAAAACCAGCGAGTTGGACGCTTTGCATAGGTGCATTGTACGATATGTGAACTGCTTCTCAATGGAGCTATTATTTATGAAGTAAGGAGGATGTGCCTTTCTGGAGGCATAAAGCAAGAATCAAGACAGCTCAGGCCTATCCGCGTCATGTCCCTGAGCTCCAGGGAAGTTGCTTCTCTTACTCCCACCTTTGAAGCCAGGGCAGGGGCACTGCCAGCGGGTGCCAAGGGTCCTGGCTTCAGAGGAGCACCTGCCCCATCCTCAGGGCCAGCTGGGGGTGAACTGCTGTTGAGTTCTGGAAATGAGGATGCTGCAGAATTGATTTTCTTTCCCATGAAAGCTGAGGGGCACTTGTGGGCTCCTGGAGGGGGGTTGTTTGGGTGGGGATTGGAGGAAAGAATGGCACAGGGTGAGACAGAATGAAGTAAAGTCAGTAATTTCACACCATCTTGAGCATTCACTATACATCTTGCTCTGTTAAAAGTGAAGTGGTTGGGAAGCAATGAGGTGTAAGAATGTTCCCGCCTGGAAAAGCTTGCCAGGACTACAGGAGACACCTGTGGAAGACAACTGCGGGCGCAGTGCTAAAGAGGTATGGACAGTGTCCACAAAAAGAAAGGACAGGATGTGCTTCCATTCCAGCAGGAAGCTGGGTGCCATTAGCATGGCCGTTGTTGTGAGTATGGGCCTGGCCCTGAGCAGGGCTACAATCCAGGAACCAGCACATCCTGTCGTAGGTTTCTGGTAGCCTGTAGTTCCAAGTGGGAGGGATAGGGTCTGTGGACAGAACTTCCACACACCTGTAAAGGTGGTGTATTAGTCACTTTTCCGCCAGTGGGATAAAACACCTGTAACTTTAAGGAGGGGTTTCAGAGGGTTCAGTCTGTTCTTGGTTGGCTCCAGTGCAGAAAGAGCATGCCGGAAGGGCCTAGAGGAGAAAAGCTGGCCACCCCGCAGCAGCCAGGATTCAGACAGCAGGGAGGAACTGGGGACAAGAATGCACCTTTCTAGGTCACATCCTGGTGACCACCCCTTGTCCCCAGGTCACACCTCCTAATAGAACATTCATCTATGAACTCTTCAGTGAAAAACCCAGCACCCTATGACACAATCATCTTCCAAAGCCCCACCTCTGAATACATGGGGGTCATTTTAGCCCTAAACCGTCACAGATGCTGAGGTTCACTGGCCAGCCCACCACTGCCGGTGGAACTGGCAAAGGAGCTGAACTATTGAACATTCATAGCACAGCTTCTATTTCTCATTGTAAGTCTATATTGTTTCAAGTCCACTATGAATTGTGTAAGGATTTGTGGACTACAAACAATCCATCTATTGGAAAATGTGTTCCAAACTCTAAGTCAACCAGAATCTGAGTATTAAATACTTGCAGTAGCTGCTCCACTGCCAGGCAAGTTCCTCAATATACTTCAAGGGCCTGGATCCAACAAGACTTAGAGGTGACCCAGGTCCGTCATAGGAACTGGAGGCAGGCCTGGCCCAAAGGTTCTGGCCCTGCCTGTGAGCTTCCCTGTCCATCCCAGCCAGCTGAGAAGCCAATGGCACTGTGACTGATCGGCAGGGAATGGAGGTGAGGGGCCTCGGGGTCGCCCTCAGCCTCTGATTCTGAGGTCCCTTTGACAGGACTACACCATTTCATTAGGCAATGGGCTCTGACAAATGTTCCACAGCCCATGGCAGTGGCAGAAACAACCTTGAGGCTGGAAACAGGGGCTCTAATTACAGGGGGAAAACCATAACATGTTTTCAAATATGACCCTTCTGCTTCCTGGAATCAGGATGGGAAAGAAGCAGAGATTCTCACCATCCTGGTGCAAACAGGGCAACATGAAAAAACACTGTGTAGTCAGGCTGAAAATTAAACAGATGTGAGTTTCTTTAATTCAAAGGCTTAATTATCCTGACGTTTTCCATAACTTAATCTGGGCCATCACTTCAGCTTTAATTATGCATAATGAAATGGATTATTTACAGTAACTAATATGACAGGAAAAACCGAGGGGTGAGAATCGGTAACTTGGCAACTCTTGTATGTTCCTCTTGATTCAGCTCATGCTCAGCGACTCCCTACTGAGCTTCAGGCCTTGCACAGTCCTGGGGTGCCCACCAGGAAAACATGGTGCTGTTGGGGGTCACGCTGTGCACAGTCCCTGCTACCTTGTTATCTCCTGTACTGCTTGCAGTCCCACCACCTGCGGGCCTTATTTTCCCTGATTTATAGAGAAGGGTGAACCACGAGTCTGAGAGGTTGAGTCATTTGCCTAAGGGCACACAGCCAAACTGTGTTTTTACCATCTACCTACTTCAGACAGAAGCCTAGAGACTCTTGTTCCAAATCTTACTGACCTACCTGCTTTATACAGCAGAAGTCAACTTTCCCAACGGGAAAGACTGTTATTTTAAGCAGGAAAGTGCATGATGAAGATTGTACTTTGAGAAACTACCTGGTGGTTCTGTAGGATGCTTCAGAGGCTGTGGAGAGAGTCCAGGTCAGGGGCACGAACCTCAAACCAGGGTGGCGGTGGCAAACCAGGGAAAGGAGCCGTAGATGGCACCTCGGAGGCTGGAAAAGGCTGAGCGTCTGGACTTCGGTCTGACTTCAGGGGATGAGGGCAAATTTGATGTCCTCCTCTGGATCAGGCAGCTCTGACCAGAAGCTCTGCCCATGCCAAGGCCCCATTCCCCGGGCCTCAGTTTCCCGTGCCTAGGAGGAGTTATAGGAGTTTACTTAGCCTCACCAGTGGATGGAAGCCCAGACGGTTTTATTCTTTCTCTTTCACTGTTCTCTTAAATATTTCGCTTTCAGGTCACTTTAATTATTTTTAGTTCAGCACTGTTAAAGCTTCCACCCCTAATCCCACGGAAGTCCCCTCTCCTGCCACTCCCTGACCCCCAGGCTGGCACAGGGTGGTGGTGGGGTGGCCCTGAGAGTGTGGCCTGGGGGGTGGCCCAGCTCCCAGCTGCCTCCTGTTTCTTTACCCTGGATTGGAAGGGGGAAGAGGAAGAGTCGGGGCAGTGGCTTAGCAGCTCTGTTGCTGTGTCTCTGTTGCTTGTGCGGCGCCCCTGTCTCTTACTGACTGACCGGCAGGTGCCAGGTGCGGCTGCTTGTGGGGTCATCTGCCCCCTGCTCACATCCTCGTGGGGAGTTCTGGCCCAACAGCCCCACAATCCATTCCTGCCACCAGACTTGGGTCTGGGGTGCATCACAGTCTTCCCTGCTCTTGTAGCTTCTCTTCTGGAGCTCTCTGCGGAGACACACAGTGGAAGAGGACCTCTCAGCGGGACACTGGGCTGACTGGTTCTGGTGGTCTGGCCTCTTGGGTATCATGTGGTTGCAGAAGCAGGTGATCAAAGAACAAATAGTCTGGTGGTGTTTAGAGTCTCCCGTAGCTACCTCATGTGGCAACAAAGCCAGGAAGGGAAGACAGCGGTGCCTGGAATAAATTCTGAGTCTGAGCTGGATTCCAGCCCTGGGGAAGTGGGCTGAAGCCCACACAGGCTCAAGCCACCAGCTATGCAGGAAGTACTCATCCTGCTGCTGCTCCTGGAGGCCACATCAGGTAGGGGCTTCTCTTGGCTTTGCAACCTGACTTGGCTTATCCTTTGTAGGTTTCCATCGTATGACAAAGTCCTCACAGAAGAGGTTGTCTCTGGAGGGGACCTCATCCCACTGTGGACTTACCTGGGAGGATGGATGGGTTCTGGCATCTCCAGAGAGGCCTGCGGGATGGGGTAGGGGTGTCCTGGACAGGAGAGTTGCTGAGAGTGCCACCATAGAGTCTATGTTGACACGTGTCACCCTTGCTCTTGTGTTACTGGCCTGCGCTGGAAGTCCTGAGACCGGGGCTTGGGACATGATTTCCAAAGCAGAGCTGTGGGTGTCAGGTCAGTCTTTGTGGAGGTGATGGCTCTTCTCTGAGGACTTGTGGGGACAACTGGAGGCGGGCTGGGGGGTCGTCTTCAAAGGGAGCAAAGAACATGGCTCCTAATAGCAAGGCCAAAGAAGCCACCCAGGGCTTCTTTCCCTCTTTCTCATTCAAGCTCTTGAAGGATCTTGGGTGATCTTCTAAATGCTGTCAGCTTATCTTATTGAAACTGAGCCTTTTAAATTAAATTTTATTTTTGACTAGATAGTATGTGTATAATGTATGGAATTCAATCATGTTAATCTGCAGATTAATTTAGGGATAATTTACATCTTTGATGGGTTGTACAGTAGAATACTTAGAGGAGTGTCTGAAATGTAGTAAATGTTAGTTGTTATTATTTATAATGTTGTCTTCCTACTTGAAGAACAACATGCTGGATACAGTACTTGTTCAAGTCTTTATGTATTTTCCTCAGGAGTATTTTAAGGTTTCCTTCATATAGATATTGCACATTCTGATCATGGTGATTTCTAGTTCTTTCTTTTTCCTTTTTTTTTTTTATTGAGTTTATTGGTACATTTAGGGATACAGTACAGTTACATTCATTGTTGGGATCATGTACCTTTACATGGCAAGTCTTGATTCTCATTTTTTTCCCCTTACCTCTGCCCTCCCTTCACCCCCTCCTCCCCTCCCCATCTACAAACACTTTATTTTCATCTTTTCATTCTCTCACATTTTTTTCTTTTCCCTTTTTGTTCTTCCCCTACGTATCAC